CTCTTCAAGTCGTCCACCCGACCCGCCCCCTCCAAATTCTCTCCTCTTTTGCCCAGAGCCCTGTATTTCGGAGAGCAGTCTCAGCTGGCCGACCAGTTTGACCCGGACAGAAACATGTGTTACCTGAGTTGGCGAGTACCGGACAACCGGACGCTTATCCGGATCTCTAGTCTGTCGGAGGACACCACTGGCTGGTTCGAGCGAAACAGACCCCATCCACTTATCTAGGGGTAACGAGTACTAAAAAAACCCGGATACTTGACGCACTTTCGCTCTGTCCAGGAACGCTACCAATTGATTTGAAGAAAGATACCTACATTTGATTATTTGAGCAACTGGTGTTACTGCCATTATTTTAATCTGGGCCATCGAGAACAATTCTGCTAATTGAGTGGATATGCGACACCCGTGACTAATAAATACATTTTACACAGTAATGTGATGGCGTATGCGATACTTACTTACTTACTTACTTACTTGGTTGGAGAATAGGCATCACTGCAGGTGGCACAATGCCATAGCTGTTCCTCCCTCCTCCCCAGGATCCATGAAAAAGTCTGCCAGCTGGTTGGATATTCGTCTGGCTTTTCCACGCAGGTTGCTGTCTCTCCCCGACCCTCTAGAGACACCAGCTTCCCTTAGTCTATTCATTGTGTCTGAAGTGGTTCCTTCATCCTCTCTGTGGTCGTTGAACCATGCAGTCAATGCTGCCATGACTGTTGGTGGATCTAATAATAATAATAACATATAGCATTTGTATAGCGCATGTCCCCGCTCTGCAGCAGGCTCTATGCGCTTTAAACTATATTATTACCCCAGCAGACCATAGAACACTCCGAAACATTCTCAGCTTCCCGTCATGGTGCCGCCAATCTCAGCCTGGCGGGCTAGATTATCAGCCCGTTCATTGCCGTGAACCCCTGCAAGACCGGGGCAAAGATCCATACAATCCTTGTGAGTTTGCTGCTTTGTACTGCCTCTCGCCAGTCTGCATACATCATGCGTTTCTTCACTTTTTCGAGGGTACTCATCGAGTCGTTGACGAGTGTGGCAGACTGACACTCCGTCGTCTTAATCCAGTTAAGGGCTTCTGTGATGGTTTTCCTGATCTCCATGCACATGCTGGACGTGGTTATACTAGTGGCACATGACAGCTCTCTTTCTCTCTCTCTCTCTCTCTCTCTCTCTCTCTCTCTCTCTCTCTCTCTCTCTCTCTCTCTCTCTCTTTCTCTCTCTCTGTATGACCCCGTTTACACGGGCGCTGACAGCCCATCCAGATTTGACACCACGCTGTACTGAACCATCTGTGAAGATGCCTACGTCGCCCTGTTCACTGTTCTCCTCTATCAGCGTCTCTACCTCGGCATTCACGAGCTGGGGGCAAATCTTCGGGCTGATCATTGTTCTCCAAAGGACATTGTACTCAACCCTATTTTAGGCATCCCTGACGTCAAGCATTGCTATCAGAGTCTCCTCGCCGCTTTGAAACCCATCATAAACATCTGATGCAAGGACTGTGCATTCATCCACGTTTCCTTCCCCCTTCTGTAGCTACCCAAAGTCGCTGGAAGTGCCACTTCCTGTTCTAGCTCCTTTGCGATCGAGTACCCCACCTCCTTTTCTAAGAGCTTGCTCACGCAATTTTGCATCATGATCACTTGATAAGCAGCTAACTTACTCTTGTCCTTGTCAAGCTTGGGGAGTGGTACTAAATGGCTGCCCAACCAGTCACCTGGTATCTCTCCATTCCATAGACCCCTGTTGAGGATTTCTGTAAGGTCCCTAATGCTGTTCTCGTCAAGGTTTTCCATGTGTGAGAACCGTACACCCTCTGAACCAAGCTTGATTGTTCTCTGAATGTCATCGTGACTGAGGGTGTAGTTGAAGAGTCCGGTGGCGTACCGCTGGCGTATGACACAGAGCAGCCTTTTTAGTTCCTCTTCGTTGCCCTGGTCTGTCTGAAGAATATATCTGGCAAACAGCGCCTCACCTTTCTCCTTGCCTGACCGCATCCACACGTAGTCCTCCCGGTGGAAGTCTGGTAGACCCTTGGCCGGCTTCTTTTTCATCATTGATCTGTACAGCTGCCAGAATGTGTAGAGTGCCTTATCATCTGTCACCTCTAGACATAAATTTTCATAAATGGCTTCCTTAGCCTCTTTCGCCACGACCTTGAATAGTCCTGAAGCTTCTTTCTCTGCTCTGTTCGGGTCTGGGTTCTCTCGGTTGCGTTGGTATGTTTGTAACGCATTCCTTTTTGCTCTCCGCCATTTGTCCAGCTCATCATTCCACCATGGCGGCTGGGTGATCTCCCCTTGCTTCACCCTCCTGACTGGGATTGCCTTCTTCCTCAGACTGCTGATAAGCTCTTGCCCCTGACCTCATACGCGAATGCTTTTGCCTTCTTGGCGGTTTTGGCGGGTGTCCTACGCCTGACAAGCACTGTGCACAGCAAGTGGTCGCTTCTATGAAATCCAAGGACCCGCCATGTACAATCTGTGGCAGTTTGTAGAGAGACCAAGGCCAGGTCAATAGCTCCATCAGTGTCACTCGCTCGTTGTGTCAATCTTGTAATGCTACATTGTTGAGGAATGCTAGGTAGCAGAAGTCTAGGGCACCCTCGAGAGCAACTCCTTGTGGGTCTGTGGTTGATTTGCCCCAGAAACTCCCTCGTGCATTGAAATCATCGCAGAATACTGTGGGACCAGGAGCACCTCTTCTAAGTCTCCTAGCTTCTTCCATTCCTCTTCACTGACAGAAGCATTATAGGCGTACATGTTGACTACACTCCTGATAGGTTGGCTCTCTTGCTGGACAGCGTCTAGATGTAGGTTAGTCGAGTTCCACCGACTGACATCCAGTTCTCTGTGTTTGATGCTGTCTCTGACAAGAATCATCCGTCCATGAGTGGCGTATGTGATAGAATTGTTAGACTTTTTGACTTGAAAGTAAGCTGTGTGACTCCCAATCCCTAGTAAGGAATTTATATTGCATTATTATATTATAATTTATATATTCCCTTCTAGCTAGGGAATATATCTGTGTGTATATATGTTTGTGTATGTGTGTGTATATATGTGTATATATAGTGTGTTCTCGTGTGTTGCATCCATCTCTGCCCGGGTCGATCCTGGCGGGCAAGGCCGAAGCAGCCGACCTCAGGAAAACAGCGTGAATTGTAAATGTTTAAATTGTAAAAGAATGTTCTCGGCATTTGTCGTCAGGTGACAT